TTTAAAAAATTTTCACGTTGCGGGAATTATTTGATAAATTTTGAATTCTCTTTGCTATATTGATATTTATTTTATTAAAATTTGCTTATAATGACCTGTCCCAAGTGACCGCATTGGTTTTTCTTTCGAATTCCGTCTCAGACACCTGAAACGGGTGAAATTTTCAAGTAATTTACTAAAGATATACCTATAAAAAAATCCTTGAAAATGGTACTTAGTGTAGATTGTTAGTAAATACGACTTTAGTCACAATATCGATAATTATACGTATTCAATTTACTATTTGTACATATAACCTCCTATTTTCCGATTTTGAAGCCGGTTTAAAAAGGTTTGTAGTCAGGTATTTTTTTTAATTGGAAAGAGCAAAAATAATTTTCAACTGTCGCCGCTATGAAAGGAATTAACATCACAGGCGATGACAAGGTATCACAGGTTGTACGGGGCCTGAAGGCATGCGGATAAAGGCGTGCGGATGTGCCCACCAGGGAAATTACCCAAGTGCTGCCAAGACCCGCCCTAAGACGTAATTAATTAGTGCGCTACACTACATGCCGCGTTTTTATTTGTTACTGAATTGTGGAGGGTGGTGACGAGTTTTCTTTTACCACAAATTAGAGGTGACTTGTTATATTTTATCACAGATTAGATGGAGTGAGAAAAAAAGAAATACAATATGTAGTCCGAATTCAAAAGTAGCGTCATTAAATTTTGTTTGATTGTGTCTGCGTTTTATGTACTCACTAGCTTCCGCCAGCGGCTTCGCTCGCATGGTTTCTAGGGAACTGTTTAGTGGGATAAAAAGCCTGTATGTCAATCCACGCTTAAAATTATCTGTATTCCAAATTTCATCAAAATAATTTCATTAGTTTTTGTGTGAAAGAGTAACATACATACATCTTTAAAATTTTCGCATTTTTAATATTAGTACAAAAGATTGTATTCTTATTAAGTAAATTGATTAAATGTTTAAAATAACTTAGATGTACTTAATAAGCGATAGGCAGGTCAATGTAATTTTGACATATTTAAAAGATTTAAGAAACTTATTACGACGAATTATTGTATATTAATTAACAACAACTGATAAGAAAACATTAAATATAATTAAATAAACCATCGTCTCAGAAACTGCATGGCACAATTAGCGTGAAAAGTATAAACACATTTCGTAATTAGTCATCTTCAGAAATTCACGACTGATATAAAGAGACCTACTGATATGACATAAACAAATTATATTTTTATAGCAACAATACACTTCTGTAAGGTCTTCGACGATTGGCCACCGGACTTCAGTGAGATAAGGCTGCGTGCGCACTGGCTTCCGTCCGAGCTGATAGTGGTAGAAGGATAAAACAAGGACAAAATGTTTGTGGTACGATATGACTGCTTCTAAGAATGGAATGCAAACAAAAATGGCAACTTATTTTAATTGCAATATTATATTTATGATTTAATACATTATATTGACTCCATTTTCAAAATATTTATTATTTTAAAAAACTTATTTATCGTCGGAAAGGCAAATGAATCTATATTCATACAGCCAACTACTTTGTTTCGAACTAGAATATAGGCCATTGTAATTGGTGAAAAATACATACTTATAATCTTTATTTGAAACACACTCGAAAAAAATACCTATGTATAATTTATTGGATGTTCCACTAGACATATTTTTCGTATAAAAGAGAACTGATATGATCTGTAAAATACATTAAGGTTCTATTACACCATCTAGAATCGGTCAATAAATTCTGAGTAAGTAAATTGATAAATAATTTCTATAGATTAGCGGCTAGTTGTTGTACGTGAAATGAGGTTTGAGATCACGAGGGCATAATTAAATCATTTAAAAACAGCCGCGTGACTTTCGCGGCTTATGCGTCTCTTTTTTTAAGGTGCACTAATGAAAGACTGACGCGCCCGCTCCTTCGAGACTCGGGCAAGGCGCGCCTCGCATGTTACATGACAAACAACTCAAGGGTATGTAGTACAATGTCGTGTCATATGAAAAAAAACTTTATTACTACACTAGCATGCCCGTATATTACATTCTGAGAATGAAAATAGGCAATTATTATTTCATTAAACTCAAAGAATGTCTGCTCACCATTATGTTAGCTTTATAACGTTTTCTATTTAGGCTGGTTATAATAAATATATTAGTCGAATTCAGAAATAGCTTGTAATAATGATTTTGAAAAGAACACGTCGGGGAATGGGTGGAGTAATTAAAAAAGTTTATGCCTCATCGAAGACAAGATAACGCCGGGGCGGTCGGAAGAAACCACCACTTTTATAATTACTCTTTCATTAGCTGATGGATGGTTGGCTATGTGCGGGGTTCGCTTGGCTAAGCAAGCAGTTAAGTTCTTATAGCTTATACTTTTCATTGTTGATCTAAAAAGGAGGTCTTGTTGTAGATATTATATTTAAATGAATTTTAAACAAGATTAAATTAGTAAAAGAAAATATAAGACCGTTTTGTTAACTGTAAATAAAATATATCAATTAAATATTTAAAAATCAAGATGTGTGCCACGTGTTACAAGCTTACAATGTTAAGCACAATTATGCTAAGGACAACCGTACTTCATAAAATTTGGATATTCAAAATACAAATTTCTTTGATTCTTTTCATAAGTTCTCAGATTCGGGGTGGTAAAATCACGAGTCATGTGTAAAAATAATGTTTCAAATTCAAAATTTTATGAAGTAGGGCAAACTTGTCCGTAGCACGGTAAGCTCCCTACACGTGGCACACTTCTTGATTACAACGATAAGTAAGACCGCGCCTTCGCGTGTTTTAATTATATTATTAACGACGACGGCCGGCGAAAGGCTAATATTTTATAATGGCTTGCGTATCGCAATGATATGTAAATATTCAGCCGCTCCCTTACGCCTATTACTCGCTTCGTTTGCGTGCGTGTGAACGCTAATTCGGAAGTAAAGACACGTTAGCTGGAATTTACTGTTAAGGTGTGACATTATCTTTCGCTCATTGACGGATTCTTCCAAAATATACTTACACTAATAGGATTGGATTGGCATCCTTACTTTAATCAAGTTCTTATGGCAGTCACAGTGAATCTATCAAACGAGTTCATCGAATTTTAATATTTTTTAGTTTTAATTTTTTTTTCAAAACTGTTGCAAAGCTTGTTTTTATGTCATGCATAACCACTTACGGTCGTGGCGACTTACTAACGTGTAATTAGCAGCTTTTTGAAGGAAAACTACTCATAAGCTTTCTCGAAAGGGTGGTATTAATTACGGGAGCGGTAAATGCCGGCCACTTGCAGCCCTAGGCCTCATTTGAAAATGTTAACACGTAAATTAGACTGCGTCTACTTGTAGTATAATATTGGCCGACCAATTAATTTGCATGCGTACAATAATGTAGCATGGTGCCTTCATCCCTGGTGACTATTTTAAATGATATAAGACGAGCTTATTCAACTTGATTTTTCTGCTTCATGTTTTACCATATTCTATTAAAATGCATATTTTTATTCACTTGAAAAAGAAAAATATTATTCAGAACTTTAAAGTGTATAAGCTTCGGCAGTTAACGGCAGCAAGTTAAAGAGGCATGTGGAAATTGCGACGTAAGGTTGACAACATTTTCCATTTCGAACTGTAAGAGTGCTTCGGTTAGCGGAACTACGCATTTTGGTTGTTTATAAAAAAAAACCTTCGAAGTCGAGCAACAGGTAAAGAAGTTTAGTAATGTTCATATGGAGATCATATAATTGGCTTTGATTTTTAAAAATAAAATAAAAATTTAGACTTATTTTATCATTTTTTTTAGAATGAAATAATGAGTAAATCGCTACGAGTCAGCGGCTGAATCGCGACATGTAAGTGTGTTTCACACTTGCACCGGTCCGTATGCGAATTAAAAAAAAATGCGAGGAGCGTGGCCTCTAAGTGCCCCTAGCTCTAGTTGGATGTGTAAAAAGATTAATTGGAGTGTTGCCGTGTTCTAACAATTTACGACGCCTTCTGGCGGTCCGACCGCAGACCACTTGCGCGACTTAATTAAGCGAAATAACTTAAATGAGTCACCGTTGCTAATTAGTGCTATCGTTGCCGCGGCTAATTCTACGAGTGATTCTTTGTTTGCTAACGCTCGTTTCTTTGAGTTCGCGCGCAAAGAATTTGTCTTTACGCCGACTTTCGCCAAAGGATGTTTGTTCTGTGCGCCTTTATGAACATTGGCTGCGGCGACTTTGCTTTTGTAATTTTTTAAGTTGCAAAAGTGGCTTTCGGGAGCTTTTCTTATTCCGTGTTAGACCTTTTCTATTCGGATTTATGGACTATGAAATAATTTAAAATAGTTTTAACAAATGAGTTTCTTCTTTAACCTCTTATGGTGTTATAATATTTTTTGTGTTTAATGAAGCTTTGGAATTATGGTATAACATTTTTTTATTTAACATAATACTCTGTCAGTTATATTTTCTATTATCGAATGTTTTACATACGGAGAATAAGGTTCATTTAAATTTTGAAAATAGAAAAGTTAGCTAGTAGGATCGATGTTCAAGTTTACGTGAATATAAATTTGGAAAATAGAATCACTTTGGGAAATGTATAACAAACGTGTCTAGAAACATAACGGCACTGGTTAAAAGACGCCAAGGGCCCTCTCCGGTAGTGCTCTTGTGTATGCTTGTCAACAAGCGGACGGTCGTGTGAGGAGGGCTTTACGTCTTCATGTGTTTACGCCTTTTAAACTTCTCTACCAACTTCCTTGTAGTACCTACTAGATTAGTACTACAGTAGTTTACATACACAGTTAATTAAAACTTATTTACTTTTCAAGTTAAAAAGTGTTATAATGAGATCAAATTTAAATACACCATATTTTTATTAACTTAGAATTTTTACGACCGTATTTCTAGAATGAAGTTGTTAACAGAATAATGGTGTAATTAGGTCTTTCATTATATCAGAACATAAAAAAACCCCATAATGATATTGAAAGGCTATCGTGCAGTTTGACTTCCATAATCGACACCTCTGTTAGAATTAACACGAGATATAATTAACGATCTCTAATTAACATAATTAGAAAAAAATAATATGTTTGGACGGGTTAGATTAAGAATAGTACCTAACGAATAAATACGTATATTACGAGTGTATTATCTACACTTCCTTGTGTACAATAACATTGAATTTTTATTATGACCTCCTTTAAGAATTAAACGACCTGAAAATAAATGCCACAAAATTTAATAGAGAATATGTATAGACGAACTTGTTGTATACGAATTGAGAAAGTCCGATTGATACTTGTGATAATAGTCACTTCAGTATGACATGACCACGGGCTAATTAGGGGAAACGACTAATCGATTTTCCGTAAATTTAAAATGCAATAATTATATCGACACAAAGGTGTCGGGTTGGAGCGGCCATGCAATTATATATCGCCAGAATCGTCTATCAACGTTAAAAAAAATTGTTTTTGATAGCTTGAAATAACTCAAAAAATTATAATAATAATTGGTGTTCAGATTTAGCTCTATTTAATTAGATCACAAAATTGTAAGTTGTAGAAGTGTAAAAAAAATACATTGAAAGTACATTTCTAGATTTGGGTTGGACAATAGATACTTTTAAACTATGATATTTTTACTTATTATTGTCAAATTAAAATAAGATTTAAAAGTGAATTTATTTTAATATTTATAGTAACATCTCAAAACACTGTAAATTTCTACGATCTTTTGTTTTAGTGTTGAAATAAAGAATAGCGTGTGGATTTTTTCCATAAGAGTCGGTAGTTGTCGTGTGCGATTGTAGAGTGAACCCCTCACCCTTTCAGCTTTCAGAGATGTTTATCGCAAGGAAATGGCCGTTTTCCGTTGTCCACAATGGGGGCATTAGTGGACAATACTAATGGACTAAGTTATCCAAAGTTATCATTCAAAGAAACTCTGAAAACATTATTTTTATATTCCTAACAACTCTATAGTTGGCCACATACTAAAATGTCCAATGATTTGCCAGTTTGCTTTTTAAGTGCGTTTAATTTGTGCATATCTTTTGAACATTTGGTTTTTATTTACGTATACATAAGAAGCTATTACTGTTTGTAATATTTATGATTTAATTTGATGTTTAATGTTTGATCAATTGAGATAATGTGATTGCAATAAAATCACTTACTAGCTGTAAGGACTAGTTCCGGCCTACCTGTGCAGTTATCTACATATTGTTTTTTAAGTCTACGCAACGTTTTTGTTCTATTACTTACAATTCTCGAACAAAAGTCACAGGTAAAAAATCTCACAACTAACCTTTTGGCGTTGCTAACACTTGTTGATGTATAAGAATAATTAATTAATTATGCATATTCTCTTTTATGAAACTGTAAAGTTTATTTGGTTTTAATCCACAGATTTGTAAAAGCTTAAACAAATTTAATGAAACAAAACGGTGTAGAACTATTTCATATCACATATGTCATCTATCGAAAGTCAAAATTGGTGACAATCCTTACGTTCTCGTTCTACTTTACAAAGTTAATGTAGCAATGATTTAACTCGGAAAACTTTTAGAGCTCACCAATAGTATAATGAATCTAAAAAATCAATTAAACATATTAAAAGGGAACATGTTGACATGTGTGGCGTATAGTGTACGTTTTGTAAGCATAAAGTTGGTACATAATTTATCGCGTTAATATTAATAAGTTTATGGAAAATAGCTTATCTGTGCATTTACGGAAAGCTTATCTTAGTCCAGATTACCAGCTTGAGATAGTCGGAAACGTTTAATATAGAAGGTGATACGTGGCTGGAGTGCTGCGCTAACAGTGACGCGTGCTATGTTACTTTGAGTTTAAAGCTTAGAGCTCACTGCAAGCGATAAAAATAACAAAAATATTTTAGACACCCTACATAAAATAAATTTATTTACAGTATAAAATTGATGAGAGATTCTCTTTAAACTATTTTTAAATAATAATCTTGAAAATATTTATAAATAAATCTTAAAACTTGGTAGTTAATTTGATCACAAGAGATTAATGCAACTATAGAAAAAAATCTAATGCAAGTAAAGTTCGTTTAACTAATGACGTTTTGACGATGAATTTATTTTGGACTAAATACTAGTTATGCGGGAAATTACCTATATGGATGTTTTGACTAGTGATACAACGAAAACTACTTTACCAGTTTACAACTAAACCCTTATTTTTTTTAAATATTTTCTTGACTTTTTGATTTTCAGCGAATGAACAAATATATGGACAATACTGTTTGGCGAATACAAATATTTATTAAGTTGTTCTTATTTTATATTTATTATTTTATGTATGACTAGATAGTATCTCTCTGAGTGGAGTTTTGGCCTAATATATTTGTCTTTCGCACACTCGACACATACGAAAGAGATAGGTGATACAGTTGAGTGTAGTCGATAGGTAATGCAAAGAAGGGTTATGTTTATCTTATAGCAGGTGCTTTTATCAGAGCCTTAGATAACGGGAAATTAGTCAAGTAGAAATCAATATTGAGGGAACTACATATCGAAATATATTTCTGCTAGTTAAACATTTTATTCGTTAACTGTAACAACGCTCTCTCTTTACACAATAAATTTATAAAAATATATTAAAATGTAGCTTTAAAACATACCTTTACAATAAGCAAACTTTTGAGGATCAATCGGTATCGCTAGTCGTATTACTACAAGTAAATTATTCTTCGATATTTTTTAAATGGTTGAACAAAGATCATGTGGTATTGTTAGTGGAACTTACATCTGCGACAAAAGTGGGGGTTATGAACTTGTATAATTAGAAGACAATATTATTAATTACTTTAAATAAATCCATTTAAGTTTAATTTCAAAACGAATATATTTCCAGACCCTTCCTCGTAAATTCCAAACAATTGAATTCAATACACTCACAGACTTATCACTTGAATTATTTTTGTAGCTTGCACGAGGAAAAACCAACATGATGTTACATATTAAATGTAATCCCGAATTTTTTTTTGAAAACTTATTTATTTTAATATGACCGACTTGAGTAAATTGACATTAACAAAAAATAGTTTGATTTATTGATGCAGTGACGTTTTGTATTTTCTATCCTATAATTAATATTTTAATTCGTTTATTATTTCAATTAAATCTACCGTAATAATTTTTTCACTCATTGTTGTCATCTTCGTTCAAATGGTCCAATCAATAGCAATATGAAGTAGATTAAAAGTTGTTTATCTTTCTAAAGTTCTTTAGATTGTGGTTTAAGTACTGTCGCCTAATAAGGTCGTCACTGTTTTCAACCGCTGCTGGAGTGCTAAAAAAAGAACTATCATATGTTTTTATAACAGTACCATACTGACAGATCTTTAAGGACCGTATAATGAAATTTAAGCTATATCCGATAGTTTTTTAGCGGTTTTGCGGTTAAAAAAGCGCCTTTAGTAGGCGACAGTACCTTATTTTTTATTATTGTTAACACAGTTAACGTTGATTTAAGATTGTGACAAAGCCTGATTTGCTATACATGTTGATTTTGAAAATTCATTTAAAAACTGTAACTGTGTTGTAGCAATAGATTCTTTACCTGTTTTGTGATCAGGAAATAGTGTATCCAACCCTTCAAACCGTTTTAAATTAAGTTTAGATATGGGAGGGTGTCTGTCTGTTAATCAATCGTTTAAGCTAGTTTATAATGAAATTACAACGTTTTGCGAACAATTTTATGCCGATTTTGGATTTAAGTCGATGTTCAAAGGTAGGATACATTTCACCGTAACACATAAGGCTAGATAGAAAATTAATATCGAAAATAATGTGTAAATGACATAGATTAAAGTTTCGATTTTAGTGCAAACATTTAACTAATATATAAATAGATAATGATTTATCTATTTCACCATTGCCAATACTAATTGTACACACAGCAGCACATCAAATTAGCACAAAACTCTACTCTGCTTTAAAATTCAAAATCAAATTTTGTAGTTATGGCCTGATGTGTTGTGGTTTTTACTAAAACTTTCAGATAAAATCTATATTAAAATACAAGAAAGTTACAAAAATTGATTAAAATTCATTACATTTTCTCGTCTTTGATTAAAGTACTAGGGTATTAGAAATGAAAGGAACATACCTGAAGTTCGAGAACCACTTGACGAGCTGAGCAGTGTTGTTCTTGTTGAACTTGATGTCGGGGAAGTACATCTTCAAGACCGCAGAGCTCGGGTACCGCACCCAAAAGAACATCAGCTTCGCCTTACGAAGGTGCATCGGTGTCAACGTTGAAGAGTGCACGGGAGTTAAAGGCACTATTGAAAAGTGTGGCTTATAACTAACACATTAGGAATCAAATACTTTGTATGTCGTAGTAAAATAGTATGGCAGAGGTACTTTTATCTCTACTGCATATTTGGTTTCATTTTCTCTTCATATAACCAAAGCGTCTGTTTTTTAATTATTTAAAAAATTGCCATTATTTTTGAAATATGTGTTCATATTTAAGTTTATTTTGATCATAATATAATATAGTATACGTAAAGAAAATGAATGTGATATATCACAAGCTTTTTAACAGATAAATTAAAATAGAAACTATTTAATGAGACGGAAAAGGGCTCGAAAAAATCGTAAAATCAAAATTATATTCAAATTATAATTAACGATAAAGTGAAAAAAAAATAGTCAACTTTAAACATCATGCTAATGAAATCATTCAGTGATAACCGAAGCATATAGCAGCCTTAACCATTATGATAATTTTAACGAACTATAAAATATCTAAATAATGTTACTTTTGTGTAGTAAATTAATCGTTAACAAGGATAACCTTTACTTTGATCTCATTAAGAGTTAACTACTTCAGAATTAACGATATACATATTTAGTATGGGATTTTGTAAAATTCTATTTCAACCATAATTTGCTCTCAATCTCATTACTATTCTATTCCAGACTTAGTTCATAGGCACATTGATGAAGCACCACAAAGTCTTAATCCATTTGCATTCTAATCTTATAATGTGCCTTATCCTATACTTGCCTTTTTTTACTGTTAGCTTCGAGATTATTTTTTCTTAATTTAATAAAGATAATGTGTGAACTGGCTTTTTGTAGGTTATAGTTACTAAGAATCAAATACTTTTGTTTTCCAATGTTTTTTTTTTAAATGGGTAATAGTATGTTGTTCGTTCAAATTAAGAATTACGATTTATTACAATGTTTCGTTCAATCTTAGTTGATGACACAATAGATGCCCATCGGAATGGAAAACGTAGAAACCGCAGCACTTGTGAGGTTTCTAGAGTCGTAACTGCTAAGTAGGAAATGGGAGGCGGCAGTCGTAAGGTTAAATACTACAGAAATAAGATATCTGTGGCCATTTGCGGCTGAGGATTTGTGCCCTATTCTATTAGCTCGGATTTCGTTTGACGCCGAGTTGACCTAACTTAGATTGATGTAATAAGAAGTTTTATTTCTTTGCATATGTTTGGAATAATCTGTCTTTTTTAATTGATTCAAATTCTACTCTAAACGGCCTCGTTTAAAATTAGGATAATATTTTGATAATTAATTGATAAATTCAACTGTGTCTTACCGCTATTAATGTAAATACTTTGTATTGAAAAGGATATAGTAGGCTGGACTCCGTCGTAAGGCAGATCTGTAGAGTTGCAATCGGAGTGTGGATCTTGAGTATCCATGTGCTGCGGGTGGTGTTGCGCTGCGTGCAGTGGTGCATGCGCGTGGTGATGTCGTAGGTAATCAGGAGATGCATGATGTGCTGCTGCCATTAAGGCTGGATGTAGCAGAACAGGCGCGTGAGGGAGCGGTGGCGAGTCTCTCTCAGGTGCTGGAGGAGATCTTGCCAGCCCCCCACCCGCGCCAAAAAACGGAGAGTATGGCGAAAATACTTGACTTTCGTGTAGTGACGGGTTAGGAATCGCCACTGATGTAGGTAATGCCATTCCACCTGCATACGGCCGTGGCGATGGCGACTCTGAGAATTTCGTCTCCGGTGTCCCCACACCCTCTCCAAGTATCCGGCTGACTGTTCGTGGAGTGATGCGCGTGTCCGTAACCTTGTGCCGTTTTTTCTTTGGAGTGACGACCAGACTGAGAGCCTCGTTCTGCTCAGGGTTTTCGCGCTCAAAGTGCCCGTTAATCGGGCCATAGAGAGAGCTTAGCGACTTCGGCGGCGTCTGGAACATTGCTGTGGGAGGTCGCACTTGAGGTCCGTGGCCGGGACCGCCCGCCTCGGGATGCAGCGAAAATGCCGCACCACCTGGCGCACGGGGGCCATTCATCTGACTCATCAGCATTGGGTTATGTGTAATAAACGGGACACCATTAGGGGCGCCCGGATGATGGACGGGATTATTACCTGACATCTGCCCCGACGACCTCTCCGGCATTTTCGGTGTTGGTGACTTTCGTTCTAGCATCCTCGTCGCTCGCATCAGATCTTTATTCAGCTGCTCCGCAGCCGCTGCCGCTGCTTCTGATTGCTTGCCAATGATCCGACGTTGGTGCACAAATCGTGTTACAATAGAGTCGATGAGGCTTGCTAACGATGCTGTGATCTCACTTTTTAGAACTTCGGCTAATCCTTCAAGGTCTGCACCTGTTACAGGGCCTACAGATCCGGCATTACTTCTCAATGCATCTAGACGTTCAGCTAAGTCTGAAGTCATCGGAGGTTTCGGTGTTTGACCCATTTGTCTTTGTTGTGGAGAGTGCTGATTGGATTGTGGCCTTTGTTGTTGATTGTTTTGTTGTTGCTGTTGTTCTGCCGCTTCTTTCATGCGGGCTTCTTGTTCTAAAAATAGTTTCTGACTGACATTGAGGTACATAGCGGCTGCATTGTTGAGATGCTGATGTGGGTGTGGTGGATGGATGTGGTCGGTGGGAGGCAAATGCGGGATCATAGGTAAGGATCCATTGAAACCAGGTGGTAGATGTGGATGGGCTGCTGCATGTGCGTGCATCTTAGCCGACATCATTTTACTCATCACTTGTGAGAGCATGTTCGGCGCGGCACTGCTTGGTATAGGCGGTGGCACTTCTTTAGCTGGTGATGCTGGTTCCAATTTGGGCACTGTCTCTTCATTTTGTTCAATATCACTAGAAGCACCGTCATTTTCAATGGTTTCCGACTCTTGTCCCATTCTATTACACAGTTGCATATATTTTTCTTGCATTTCAGCAAGCTGTTCTTGCATAGTTCTAAGTTGTGACTTTAAAGCATTTTTTTCTACTAACTTTTGTTGAATAGGTGGTTGTCGTTCATTATCGTCTTCGGAGTCGTCCGAAACAGTTTGAGCACTACTACCGTGACTGGTTCCGTATCGTTCTGCAGCCCCATCATGTTGTTGAGGATGATAAAGTTTCCGTTTTTTGCAACCATTCACTTGTGGCTGTTGAGGTGCAGGACTAGCACGCATAGTCGACACAATGTTCTCAACACGGGCACGTTTCACATCGAGTGGTCGCGGGGAAGAACGTTGCACATCACTATCACGATCCTCCGGTTCGGATTTCGGAGCGAGCAGGGGCTCGGAAGAAGGTGGTGCTGGTGGTGGCGAAGTTCGAGAATCACCGGCGCTCTCTAAACCGAGTAACGCGTCGTCAAGATCTGGGCGCGAGTCACGCGAAACAGGCCGTTCCGGGGATCGCTTTTCTTTAGGTTCATCATTGTTGTTGTTTGCCAGCACATTGTTGTTATCCGGCGAGAGGCGTAGGAGCTCCTTCTTGCGACTCTGGAGGATGTCTCGCAGAACACGATGTGCGATATCTCCGCTAGAGGCCTCATCACCTGCCTCGGTAGGTGTTCGACCTAATAATTCGTTTAACATTTCGGTCGGCGCGTAACCCGGTCCGAAAAGGCCGAAGTGTTGACGGCCGTCGAAGATGGCGCCGTACAGTCCGCCGCTCATGTGTGCGACGCGCGCGGGCGCGAGTCCGTTCGTCGCGAGAGTCGAATAAGAATTGCGCGGCTCACCGGCGTCCACGCGCTGTCTCGCGCGCTTCTGTTTCTTTAGGAGCTTATCCGAGTAGGGCGCTGAGTCGGCCTCCTCCTCCGATGACATCATAGGCGGAACGGGCCGCGATTGGCCAGGCGGGCGGCGGGCAGGGCCCCGCGCTACGAGCGCCGCATCGCCCGCTCTGTAACAAGGAGGGGAGCGTCACGTCACACACCTGCCTGAAGCCGCGTGCGCATGTTCACACTGCTACTTACAACGTCTTCACTTATAATTTTAGCAACTTCCCAATTTACTTAGGCTTTGGTATTTAACTAATAAATAATATCAAAGTTCGAAAGATGTAACCGACTTTATCTTATTTAGTATGTTATACATACTAGGCCATAAAAATTAAAAACATATTGGTATATACACAAATATAACTCAAAGACCGATTATATTATTAAAAGATTGATATTCTAGATAGATATCAATACCGAAAGCGTTGGGTGTAATTTAATAATTTCAGATAATGACTGGCTGTAAAACAAAATTTTTTGGTAAAGTTATGAAATTGCTTTAGAACAAGGAAAGTACGATTAAAGCTCTAGATACTACATTTTCAATATGTTGTATGACGAAAATAATGTTTATTGAAGGTAATTTTGTCGTAGTACATAAATGAGGCATCATTTGAAATCGATCCATGTAAATTGCCTTACCTACTAGACGATAAAATATTATATGTTATTTTGGCAAGTTCTTTTATTTCTTCACCTTTTATAACATACATTTTTATGTTATTAACATTTATTAGTGTATGTATGAATAAGTAAGCGTCAGCAGGAAATTTGGAAATATAAAGAAACTAATACATAAAATTATGTACTTAGGAGCTTACGTAGATATAAAATCACGAAAAGGATATACATCTCTACACTATAGTGAACGCCCATAGATGATTATCTTAACCAATGTTGATTGTATTCGTATATAACAAAGGCTATGTATATGTACAGACATTAATTCCTTTTGGAGCGTGACTTCACATTCAGGTGGACAATGAAGCTAAAAATGACAGAAATAATTCTGTGAGACACGCCGTACCACGGGCTGTCTCCATTTTACATACGACACGGCAGATTAGTGAGAAATTCGAGTTTTATTGTTTTTCCAATTTGAATTTTTGTTGGTATTAATGTTTATAACTGGGACTTTTTTCATATAAACCCATGGAATGTTTTCCTATTTATATACTATAATAAAGTCAGAGTAAGATTTTTATGAAGAGAACAAAATTTAAAAATCGAGGGAAATCATTAATATTTCAACTTAAAATGAATTCGTGTGTCATGGAAAGAAAGATATTATTGTTAATTAAAATTTTTGTTTTCGCAACGTCTTAATGGGTAGATACTAATTATCAGGTACCGATCTTAAAAGAAAATTATAAAAATATTTTGTGTCAGCTGGTCTAAGTTGGTACAAAGAATTTGATAATTACAAATAATTTTCTAAGTGCTGTTTGATTTTTTTGTCCACTATCAATTTATTAGAAGTTTTGTTTGTCTATAAAGATTAACAAATCACTTAAGTTTAATAGATAAGAGTATATAGAATTATAGAAATAAATAATTGAAAAGAAAATAAATAGAAATAAAAAAATGAGAATTGTAGAATAAATATATGTATAGCATTTAGAATGAAAAGTTGACAAATAGATGAATAATTATAAAAAATATTTTTATTAGAGATCTCCATGGCTGTTTGGCTCGCAAGCCGGTTTCGTTATTCCTGAGATTTCGGAATTGATTCTTTTTAGCTATATTATCTAAGCGGTACATTAGATGTTGTCTAATTTTTATTGACTGCATATGTTTTCATTGCTTTTTTCTATTTTTGTTATCTCTATTATTTGTGTAACTTTTTATTATACAACTTAGGGATTTTGTCAAACACAACGTAAACCATTTAATCCTTCAAATTATTTTTGTAATAAAAAATTATAACTGTTAAAATTATGTGTCATTCGAGAATTAATGAGGCATGCAGATATGATAAAATACCATTGAATTTTAGAACATTTTGATAGTAGTTTTAATTTATTTGTTTATTTTTCGGTATTTCCTAGGAGGTTACATATAATAACGTGGAGACGCACCACTCTCTCGTCTCTGGCAACATCCGGCGTCATTTGTGGCACAATGAGATGGTATCAATGGCGGGCGGCTTCCGATGCTGCGTGACCACTTGCGACTGCGTCACGCTTCGCCTGCTTGGCTCGTTTCGAAAAATTCACAACAGGATTTTCTAATGAGAATCGCAGCGATTCGGCCGAACTTTTAAAAAGTTAGCATTTGAAAATTAAGCCTACGGAAAAAAGTGACATGTGCCCTGGCACACTTCTTGTGACTCGCAGTGACGCAAACAAATCAGGTCACGAAGGACTGTAATGAGCGCGTACACCAAAAGTTGAAAGCTAATAAAAATACATATATTTACAGATGAATTGAGAACTTCATCTATTATTCAAGTCTGTTAAAAATGTTTAAGAGCTTAGAAGCACTGCATGTCGTGTCGTGTGACTAAAATTCTTTTATGTAAAAGTGCTCTAAATAAAAAAAGTAATATTGCAAAGAATTAATTTTTCCAATGATTTTTAATCACAGAAATATATCAAGATAAAAAATATTTCTCTGTTTTAATAAACTACAGAACAGAACTAAGATAACACAGTTTGACTAAAATTGATTTAGATAACATCGCCCTATGTGATTTAGAATAATACCACACAATTTTCCTCTTGCGATATTTAACTTCTATACACAACCGGTCACTTTGTCATTCATTATATTCACGGCAATTTGTGGTCATTTCGGAGGATTGCGATACAGATGGAAACATCCTCGCAAAAGTTGGGGGACTCAGGCGAAATACGACTTTATACGCAACGGAATAAGTGTGAGCTCCGTACCGTTTCCGTTGTCTCTGGTCACAGACCATGTGAGTCGCTGAACCGTCTCGAAATTGTTCCGGTATTTCCGGTTCTTTATAATTCGTATAGGGATACGTCAGGTCGATATACTTTCGACATAGTCGACGTTTGGTGCGGTGAAAACGCCGCTTTGTGAAAAACCATGGTCTGTGTGATTTGTGGCTCTTATAATTATGATGATTATCTGTATTAACGTATGTGAAAACACGAAAACTCGTTGCTATTGTTAAGTTACAAAAGGAACGACCTTATACCTACTTACTATCTACCAACTACCTACTTACTACAGGAATGACTTTTGTAACAACAAAATTCCATCATCCATCTGGGTGATGGGATTTTATTGTTTATTGAAAAAACATAATATATTATTTAACCATAGTCCAAACCAACCAATATTCTATAGTAATTGGAGCAAATTGCAGTTTCTTCGTATGAACTGATTTATTTACGATTTATTACATCAAAATGTAACAGAAATCATATAAAAAATAAGTAGATGTAATTAAAACATTGACTATAAATCAGTTGGCAACTGCGTATTTCGCTTTTTAACGAAATTTCGTTTTTAACCAAAAAAATTTTTTTCTTCTTTTTTAAACATGATCGATAACATTATACTTGTATCAAAATCTTGTAAGAATCTTCCAATAAGACCATTGGTATTCGAAATATTCACCCTACAACGGTATGTATCGTAATTCCGTGTAACCGGAAATAATTTCGGTAATTACCGGTTCATGAATAAATAACTCCACGTCAAATGTGCCCCAGCGCACCCTATGAAAGGGCGCATTACACTTTGCGATGTTTTCCAGTTACAATTTTTGATATGATCAATAATATCGGGGTTGACCGGTTGTGATGAAACAGTCGGTGATTTTCATTATACGAAATACAGACTAAACACTTTTTGTTATTTTAAGAAAACCTCTTTAGTGGTTCTTTTTTCTTCTATTAATACACATACTTATTTATGAAAGGTTGTCAAATGGTTCTAAACTTTTGACTTTGAAAATCAGAAAAGAACTTATTATCAAACTGCATAATATCCCCATTTACATATAGATACCTTATTTATTTGAAACCATTGTAGACCTTATGTCAGTCGGTAAGCCGAGATGCTGCTACACGAAATAGTAAGGTGTAAATCGCCCTTTACTACAGGCATGTCGACACAACCTGTTGATTTTCATCCATATAGCGGCGGGGGTGCATTGCTCTATAATATCGATGCAACAACTGCCTATCCATAACAATAAAGTCGAAAATACATTAATGAAAACTATTCTCTTGGTTAATTTGCACTATGATTTCTATAAAAAAGGTAATCAAACAGTTCGACCTATCGTATAGTTATTATATTTGATCAATTTTGCATACGCAAGAATATTCTTAACGAAAAATGCTTTAAAATACACAGTCCCTGGCACTCTGAGATGGGACTCGAACCTTTCGCAATTCGTACGACTGATAGAACCACTGAGTTACCCAGGACCTAACACGATTGACGAATTTTTCAAGCACTTGTTACTTTTTCGCTACTACAGAGCGTATTTTCATAATTTTTCAGGCAATCTACTCAAACAGCCGAAAGAAATGTATAAATTAATACAATTAAATTTTAATTATTAAATTAGTTTTTTTTTTATCATCATGAATGAATTGAACGTTTGGTCGTCTATGCCTACTCCTTAAGTGGTATAGCTTGAAGATAAAGATAGATAGATGAACTTATTTATCATAATGCTTGACACCTGCAAAAAGGTAAGCGTAATTTATTATATCTTTGTATTATATCTTCAATAGCAGCATCAAGTAGAAGCATTTTTACAAAAAATACATTATTATAAAATGGTCAAATAAACTATTAGGAATTTATTAAATTCAAACGTTTAACTATCTTGAAACGTCAAAGACCCCATTAAATTTATGGCGATTAATGTAAAATAATGACTGGTACAGCATATGCCACCACGTAGGGTTGTATGGGAATGCGTGGGAAACCTCCACCCTTGCAATTACCTTTAAAATTTATTTATCTTCTCTTTTGTTCGAATATGTCCGGTGACTTATGGTCAGCCATGTACGCATATGGTGCCGTCACGCTATGACCACGAAGACAACAGACCTTATTCAAAATTACTAAATAAACCTTCATCTATTGTAAAGCATCTATCACCATCTTATCGCTAATTAAATAAACAACTGCTCAAAAGAGTTTAATAGAGATATATGTTAAATTTCATCATTATTTTTGATAAAATAGCAGTGTCAATTAACTGGATTTTTTACATAGATATATAATATTGTAACGGTGTGCCATGCCACCGTTTGTTTTCCTAGGTTTCAGTATGCAAACTTTTTGCTTTTGAAATTCAACATCATTTCATTTTACTATTCGTCTTTCGTAATTTAAAATTTTGACTAATCAATTTTACTCTTTATGGATGTCAGTTCGTAAGAAATTCTCCTATACACAAGATGAAATTATAATATAATACAATATTATTGGTATAAATTTTACTATGTAATTTTTAAATAATTCATATATTATGGTGATACAATAATATAACATATTTACTAAATTAAAACTGTATTTTGTACGATCCAAAAGTGTAACAAGAAGCCCGACAAGGGGTATGTATTCGTTCATTTGATAAGAATGTATTAGTTTAAGTAACTTACGAACTGTTTTTTAAATTTATTTTTGTTTGTTACAGTTTTTTTATTATTACCCTTATTTCATTAATAAATTATACTCAAGCTGATCAGCCTATTTAATTGACGAAGCACCG